TGATCAATAATATGTACATATACATTTTGGATCTCCAGTGTTGCAAAGGGAATGACAAAGTTAATATACTTATCACCATATGGTGAAAGGAATACAATGCTTACTCAATATTGGGCTATATGAAAGCCGTATAAGATATTGTGGAAGAATTTAATTAAACCTGAATCCTAAACGACGACGGTATATCGGAAGAAAAATCTCCAAAGGTGTAATTATTATTGCTATCAGTCTGGTTGGAATTCAGATCCTCTAAGTGTTATATTTTGTTGTAATATGCGACTCAATTTTTGACTTTGAAGGCTATATTTTCTAGCGGCGGACGGTGACGTCACACGGCCAATGTTGTAGGAAAATCCCAATTAAACAAATTTTCTGAAATTTGTATGTGGTTATGGTTTACAACAATCGACTGTTAACTGTCAGTATTCCTATGGTGGAGGGTAGTTTTTTCTTTAATTTTACAAGTTTCGATATAGGCGTGAATGATTTTAAATAAACCAATTGTAGACTTGAACAAGTGAAAAAATCGTTAGGTTCGGCCGGGCCGAACTTTGGATACCCTCCACCATAGGAATACTAACAGTTACGTGAAATGAAAACATGGGGAACATACCAAAAAGTGGACCTATAACGAAAATTCTACCAATCGTTTGTTGCAAACATAGCACTGTGGTACAGGGTATTATGTCTTTGTTACAGGCAAAAGGAAATGAGATAGACATATGTTTCCTTTTGAGAATATGCATATAACAGGGCTGTTAACACTAATTCTTGCAAATGTTTGTTATTGTATTCGTTTCAAATACACAATTTTAAAATGTATGTTTCTCTCTTATTAAACTGTGAGAAAAATTGTAAAAACTTTAATTTAAAGTAGACACATAGCTCAACGGATGTCCGATTGATTTTTGCTTGAAATGGACTTATCTAAGTCAGTTCATATTTAGATAAAGATAACATATTTTGGTTCGTCCAATTTCATGTTTCATTGGCATGAAATTGAACGAACTTAAAAATGCGATCTTTATCTATAAGTAAACCGACTAACATTAATCCTTACACATGTCATTCTGCAGTCTATTCCATACTTTGTAAATAAACTTTAAGCAAACTTTGCGCACTCTATTTGGTATGCTTCACTGTTTAAAATGTAATATCAATCAAGCATCTATTGATTATTTGGTTTACAATCACCACGAATAGGTCGAAATTATATATTAGCTATGCTATATCTAAATCTGAACCGATTTCAAGGAAACTTGGCCGAGATTAATTTATATTAATTTCAGTACGTTTTGCAAATCGGCCTAGCTATGGGTCTTTAGTACGCCATTTACTTAAAATCAGACGAAAGTATATATAGGAGCTACATGTAAATCTGAACCGATTTCAAGAAAACTTGACACATGAAATGTTAACTTTAGTACATTGTACAAAACTGCATGCGTATCGGTCAATCTTTGGTTCTTTATTTATTGGAGCTATATCTAAATCTGAACCGATTTTCACACTCTATGCCAAATATAGTGCAAATCGAATGATATATAGGGACTTTGGTGCACCATTTACTGAAAATCGGACGAAACTATATATGGGAGCAATATCTAAATCTGAACCGATTTTCTCTAAACTTGGCACACATCATTCTGGACCTAATTTAGTACTCGATGCCAAATTTCATGCAAATCGAAAGATATAGAGGGACTTTGGTGCCTCATTTACCTTAAATCGGACGAAAATATATATGGGAGCTATATCTAAATCCGAACCGAGTTTTCCCAATTTCACACTCTTTGCCAAATTTCGTGCAAATCGAATGATATATAGGGACTTTGGTGCACCATTTACCTTAAATCGGACGAAACTATATATGGGAGCTATATCTAAATCTGAACCGATTTTCTCTAAACTTGGCACACATCATTCTGCACCTAATTTAGTACTCGATGCCAAATTTCATGCAAATCGAAAGATATAGAGGGACTTTGGTGCCTCATTTACCTTAAATCGGACGAAAATATATATGGGAGCTATATCTAAATCCGAACCGAGTTTTCCCAATTTCAATAGGATTCGTTCCTGAGCCAAAAAAGTGACGTGTGCCAAAGTTCATCCAAATCGGATCATAAATGCGACCTGTACTTTGTTTACATCTACAGACGGACTGACAGGTACTTGAAATGAAAATATAGGGAACGAAAAGTTCCCTGTACCACAGTGTGGTGAAGGGTATAAAAAGGGAGTTATATGGGGACTACGCAAAAAAGGGGGCGAATATTATTAATTTTTGGTAGGGAGATTTGTTACCATATACGACAACAAAATGCCAAATTGCAGCGAATTCGGTTGAAAAACGCGCCCAAGAACCCAAAAATACCGAAAATTGGGGGTACCCTTATATAGGGGCTACCCGAAAAAATTTACATATATTCATAATTTTTTGTGGAGAGATTTGTAACTTATTAAAAACTCAACATATTAATTTACTCAAAAATACGACCAAGACCCCCAAAATACTGAAAAATAAGAGGTACCGTTATATGGGGGCTACCAGAAAAATTGGACCTATATTTATATTTTTTGTGGAGACATTTGGTACCCAATAAGAACCCAATGTACTAAATTTCAGCGAATTCGGTTGAAAAATACGCTCAAGAACCCCAAAATACCGAAATGGGGGGTACCCTTATATGGGAGCTATGCCTAAACGTGAACCGATATAGCCCATCTTCGAACTTGACCTGCCTGCAGACAATAGACGATTCTATGCAAAATTTTGACGTTCTATCTCAATTCGTTTAGACTCTAGAGTGATTACAACATACAGGCGGACCGACGGACATGCTTAGATCGTCATAGAATTTTACGCTGATCAAGAATATATACACTTTATAGGGTCGGAAATATAACTACCCCTAAAAAGGGGTCATATAACTACCCCTAAAAAGGGGTCATATAACTACCCCTAAAAAGGGGTGAATATTAATAATTTTTGTAGGGAGATTTGTTATCATATACGAGTACAAAATACCAAACACCAGCGAATTCGGTTGAAAAATGCGTTCACAAATCCCAAAATATCGAAAATTGGCGGTACCCTTATATGGGGTGCCAGAAAAAAATTGACCTATATATAATTTTTAGTGGAAAGATTTGCTACCCAATAAGAACTCAAAATACCAACAAAGTGAAAATTGGGAGGTACCGATATAGGGGGCTACCAGAAAAAGTGGACCTATATTTATAATTTTTAGTGGAGAAATTTTGTATCTAATTTGTTTTTTTTTTTTTTTTTTTTTGTATCTAGAGTGATTACAACAGACAGACGGACACGCTTAGATCGTCATAGAATTTTACGCTGATAAAGAATATATATACTTTATATTATTTTGATGCGATTCAAACGGAAAAACAAAACTGATATACCCTCCATACTATGGTGGAGGGTATAAAAATGGATTGCCTATAATCTAAAACCAGTAACGAAAGTTCAAAAGTCGGACGGGGACTATATGATACCCTTCACCACTTTGGGTCATATGTCCAATATCCTTCAGATATAATTGAATTGAATTGAAATATGCTATTTGAAGGACAATTGAAACGAAATCGGACGAAATTAGTTGCGTGAAGTTATAGATACTTGAAATAATTTAAACTACCCATACAAATACGAATCTGAATTTTAGGAAAAAATTAATGTCAATCATCGAGAGAAATATGTATAAGATCTATATATAAATGGAAGTATTGAGCAACCGTGGCATCCACCATTTGGTATGCTGCAACACTAAACACTCCATTTGCACCATTAGCATAAAATCGGATTAAAGTATATATGTGAGCTATATCTTAATTTAAACCTATTTCAACAAAACTTCACGGATGTAAGCCTTTAGTAACGTCAATACGGTATGCAAAATTTTGTGTCAATCGGGCAAACATAGATAGTATTTACATAAAATCGAAGAAAACTATATATGGGAGCTATATCTAAATCTAAACACATTCCAACAAAATTACGCATACATCAATTCAGACCTAACTCAGTATGCTGTGCAAAACTCTGTCTCAATCGGACAAATATTGGCAGTATGATGCTCCATTTACATAAAATCGGACGAAAATATATATGGGAACTATATCTAAATCTGAATCAATTTCAACAAAACTTCACATACAGAAATTGGGACCTAATTCAATACGCTGTGCAAAATTTTGTGTCATTCGGACTAATATTGGAAGTTTGGTGCACCATTTACCAAAATCGGACGAAGCTGTATATGGGAGTTATATCTAAATCGAGACCGATTTTCTCCAATTTCAACAGGCTTCGTCCTTGGGCCAAATAATTTCATCCTAATCGGATCAGAAATGTGACCTGTACCTTGTTCACAAAAATACATTGACGGACAGACGGACGGAAAGACAGACATGCATAAATCGACTCAGAAAGTGATTCTATGCATATTCACAAAAGGAACCATGTGTCTATCTCGATTCCTTTTGCCTGTCACAAATATATGCACAAAAACATAATACCCTGTACCACAGTGTGGTGAAGGGTATAAAAAACTTGCCTAGGATTTTTTTAGTGCACTCTTAAAATTTAACTTGTATTCTTTAAATCGCGTCTAAAATTAGACTTGAAATGCAGCATAACTTCTAAAGGACAGGACAAGTTCGAAGAAGGGTCCACGTTTGGACATAGCCCCAATTGTATATATCCCGATAGTCGCAGCAATAGAACGTAGTTTCAGTGGGGTCGGACTTCATTGCAAACTTTTGTTTCCTTGTTTCTAAAAACGATTATTTGCGCTAATAGCTTACCCCAATAAATAGTTATCAAAATAAATCCATGTTTAATGTGCCACCGCCATCGTTTTCTAGGTTCATTACATTAAAAGATGAATAATAAAAATTTATTTATATTGTTTTAGCATTGGTTTTATTGATAAAAAGTGAAGATGTAAAAGGTAATATTATCTCTGCCACACCATTTATACGGTACCAGGGGCTGGAGCCAAATTTACATTGGCCACTGAATTGACATGACCGGCCAAGGGAGCAGTATGAACAGCACCGCGTGTTTTAGCCACATAAGTTCCCTCAGCTGCGGGTACAACCACGGGAGCATGGACAGCAACACTGGGTGCGGCATGAACTGCAACAGCAGCTGGAGCAGGAGCTTCAACAACGGCAGGAGCATGTACCTCCACAGCTGCAGGTGGGACAGCTACCAAAGAATGACCCCATGGTGCCCAAGGAGATGCCACAACGGGTGAAGAGACAGCAGTATATGAAAGGCCACTACCAGCAAGCTCGGTCACCAACGGCAATACTGATGCTTGAGCACCCAAACCCAAAGCCAAGGTAGACAAGATAGCAGCAGAGAACTAAGGCAATACATTAATTTTTATATGTAAATATTTGTTTAATAATCATTTAACTTACTTTCATTTTTATTGAAAAATGTCCGTTTGATTGACAAATGTCTGGAGAAAACTAAACTGTGTTGTTCGTTAGAACGCAGAATCTATTCTGAATTGTCAACATCAAACCTCCTGTTTTTATAGAGAAATTGCATAATTCTGTGACAACAACAATTTACGCAATAACAGCGAATCAGGAAGTCTTATGTTCCGCACAACCATACACCGCACTCAATGTAAATATGAAAACGTCATAATAATATTGCTCTACAAATTGAGAACTCATTAATTTTGCATATAGGCACAGCTGTTCAACCAGTCCAATGGAATTAGTCATGCTTGTGGTATACCAAAAGCATTTCATTACCAATCTGCACATGCGTGTATATGAAATGTATTGATTTTATATTGTTTATTAATAATCAACGTTATAATAGTCTAAACACCAATCGTATGCATTCATAATTAAACATTATTGTATTTATATGGGAAATTACAAAATTCTTTTAAAATTCCATAAAAAAAGATTTGATAAATTTTTTTGCAAGCACATTCATGATTTTTGGTACATAGGTTAAGAAAAATATGCTGATTCGAAATTCACAAATTCGGAAGCTGCGCACAAAAGTTATAGCGACTTTTAATCTTGTATTTCAAATATAAATTAAAATAATTCATATTTGTTGTAATTCGCGAATTTCTTCACAAATGGTTAAACGCATTTGTTTTCTTTGAAAACTTGTCAAATCACATTGAATTACGGTTAAATTGTCGCGAAAAACAAATAGAAGCATGAAGATATCTGAAAATAAAATAAATTAATTTTTTAATTACATCGAAATGTTATTTGAATTTTTGATTTTTATACCCTACACAACTATGTTGTCAT